ATAAAACCAACGGGGAAAGCTATGCTTACGGGCACTAAACAGCGCACTCGCCTAGACAACACCTGAAAGAACACAAATAAACATGGGACGACGCCCGGTCAGCGAATAATGCTCCTAACCCACCAATACATGTGAAATAACATACATAGGTAAGGTATAAGTTGTAAAACCATTTTCGAAACGGAATACATATATATAAGTGTAAAACCAAGAGTAAAAGCCAACATAAGACTCAACACTCTCCACAAACAACACACGGGAACACATCCCAAGACCACAAGAACCAGCACGACTCACAAAAGAGTCAAGGCATGATCTATGATCACTCAATAGATCAAAACCCGACAAGCACAACGCAAAAAGGATAAAACTCACACAACCGGCAATACATGCCAAGGCAACACATGCCTTTGTGACTACACACGTCACAAGAGAAAAACTCACCACAATGGCTACAATAGCCCTCGTGATATCACCCATCACGAGTTGATATGCCTGCCTTATGCACTGTTCCAACCTTATGGCTACCCCCAACCTTGTTTCTTCTTTCCAACCATTACCTCCAGGACCCCTGTACTTCTTAGTCCAACCTTTTTCCTCCGGGACCGTCGTCCCCCACCAACGACCACCAACGAGACCACCAATTTCATAGTACACAAGGTACCGTACACACACACGGCAACACATGCCACCCAAGAATCACGTGGACCCATCACTCAGGCCACAACTCCATAATCACGTCACGGCCACCACAAGGACCGCTGCAATACCTTGGTAACTTGTGTCCCATACCACTAATCGTGCAATCCAGGTTAAGCCACACACGCATCACACTTTAACAAGAATCAATCAACGGATTACAACGAAGGTATGAAACATACTCAATCAAGGAATGGGTCACAGCCCACAACAACAACGGTGAATAACACAAGTTATCATCAACCAAACGGAAGGTACAAACAACACACGCGCTAGCATTTAGATACCAAACTAGCTTTCTTACCAAACGTAGTTCCGAGGAACACCCAAGACTCATCACGGTTCAACTAAACACATTGTTGAACACTTAGCACGATTCGAGACACAAAAACCTACATGGATACCTACCATATAGTTCTAAACATACGAAACATCAAGAAGACAGTCAAATAGTTCAACAAAAGAACATCGGGAAGTCAAAACACTAAATACCGAGTCAAAAGAATCACGGGGAACAAATCCCTCAACAGCACCACAGTGTTCCCTGCGGGTGGACCCACGGGTAGGCTCCCACCCGTGGTTCCGCCCGCGGGTACACTACCCACCGGCCATATGTTCCCCGCGGGTGGGTGGCGGGTTGGAGCTCTACCCGTCATTCCGCCCGCGGGTACATATACCTGTACAAAAACATCCCTTCGGGGATTTTCAACACCAAGCTCAAATTCAAGTCCAAAACATGCCAAATCTCACCCAATACAACAAAATGACTAGAATCAAAGGAAATTCCAAGAAATGGGACACAAGAACCCTAAACACAATCTCTAGATATGCATTTTCACATGATAATGCATCAACACTCACATTTCATAGCAAAACACATGTAGAATCCAAGAAATCACATATAGGTAAGCAAAATAGGTTTTGTAGAGAATGGGTTACCTCTTGTAGACTAAAAGACTTCACTTTACACCTTAACAAGCTCTTCTCAAGGCTCACCTTCCAAACCCACTTCAAACACAAACCAAAAAGATCATAAAGATCTTACCTTTAAGAAAAGACACCTAGGATGAAACCAAAAACACAAGATGGACTTAGATCTTACCCTCCTAGATGCACAAATAGCTGAAAGGTTGAATCTTGGAAGCAACTCTTGAAGTCTTGGCAAGGTCTCAACTTGGCTTGGAAGAAAAGCTACTCACCTTTTTAGAGAGAAGGTAGAGCTAGATTTTTAGAATGTGTAAGAGATAGAATGAAGATGTCTACTAGGTTAGGTTACAGTACTAACACCATGTGTAAGGTCAAGAATGCCCTTACTAACATTAGGAAATGTAAGGAACAAGGGAACTCCCTTCAAAGCTCAAGGTACAACTTGACTTTGGAGTTGACTAGTCATACTAGTCCTCAATTATTGAATTTCAGGATTTTAGGAATTAATTCCTCAATTGAAATAGGATTAATTACTCAATTACCCCATTAATTGAATTTGGATTTGGGGGTGTCACAACATTCTTCTAACTTTAACTCATTTTGAGCCTTTATATGAGAATTGCAACTACTATTACTTTTCTTTTCGTATGTTAGTATATATATTATTTTCTTTGATAGTTGAGTCCAGCAACTTGATTTTTAGAAGGTACTAGATATTTTTGTTTGCCTTTAAGAATACACTAATATTTTTCGTGTACTTCTTCCTCATCTTTGATTGGAAGAGTCTTTTGATATTTAGTGTAGTTCACATATTCTATTTCGCCTCTTCTAAATGTTCTAAAATTGTTAATCAGACATTCCCTTTTGACCTTGAAACTTAGCCTCTTATGATGTTTTAAGAAGCACCAGAGGTCTAGTTGTAAAATAGTACCTTGGCACGGTATATACCCGTGTTCGATTCCCGGTTGGTGTACTTTCAAAACAGTGATGAAGAATGTGTATTTGTGGTGATTGGGTCACCATGGGTTGTCCGATCTTAACTGATGAATAAAAGCGCCAACTCTGAGTTTCTATTTTTGAAGGTTTCATGTGAATGAAGATAGATTATTTATACCTTAACATAGATAAATTTGTTTCATTTGAATTTTTTTGTTGGTACTCGTTTTATAATGTCTAGGAGATGGTAATAATTGTGTTGAAGAGATATATTCAGACATTGTAATATATTTCTGGTTATTAATGGGTTATGTTCTTCGAACTTTTAACACATTTTGAGCCTTTATATGAGAACTGCAACAACTATTACTTTTCTTTTCGTATGTGAGGATATATATTATCTTCTTTGATAGTTGAGTCCAACAACTCTATTTTTAGAAGGTACTAGATATTTTTGTTTGCCTTAAAGAATACATTAATATTTTTCTTGTACTTCTTCCTCATCTTTGATTGGTAGAGTCTTTTGAGATTTAGTGTAGTTTTTTTTTTTTTTTTTTAAATGAAGTTTATTAATAAAAAAAGGAAGGCCAAGGCCAGTACAAGGTCCGGATGGACTTAGGCCCCACATGGCCTAAATCCTACTAATAAGCTAAGTAAGGAAAAGTAAGATAAGACAAGATAACATAAAGTGGCCCCTGGGGCTCTAACATGCATGCCCCAAGCCCTATGCTAGCTATCACTAACTAATCGCGAGGATAGATGCCTCGCGCGTCACAAACGTGGCCCCCCAGCCAGTTGCACTACAGTGACTACACACCATAATGCCGCCTAGCCGGGATGCACCACAACTGCAACACCTCCTGGAACGCAAAGCAGAGATGTACAGCTAACAATGGCACGCAGGCTTAAGTCCAGTAATGGCACGCAGTCCTGAGAGAGAAATACAGGTAGATCCCGAGCCTTTCAAGAATACATTAATATTTTTCTTGTACTTCTTCCTCATCTTTGATTGGCAGAGTCTTTTGAGATTTAGTGTAGTTCAATATTCTATTTTGCCTCTTCTAAATGTTCTACTATTGTTAATCAGACGATCTCTTTTGACCTTGAAACTTAGCCTCTTATGATGTTTTAAGAAGCACCAGTGGTTTAGTGGTAGAATTGTACCCTGCTACCGTGTAGACCTGGGTTCAATTCCCAGCTTGTACACTTTCAAAATGATGATGACGAATGCGTATTTGTGGTCATTGGGTCACCATGGGTTGTCCGATCTTAACTGGATGAATAACAGCAACAACTCTGAGTTTCTATTTTTGAAGGTTTCACGTGAATGAAGATTAGATTATTTATACCTTACCATAGATAAAAATTTTTCTTTTGAATTTTTTTTGTTGGTACTCATTTTATGATGTCTAGGAGAAGGTAATAATTGTGTTTAAGAGATATATTCAGACTTTGTAAAATATTTCTGGTTATTAATGGGTTACGTTCCTCGAACTTTAACTCATTTTGAGCCTTTATATGAGAACTGCAACTACTATTACTTTTCTTTTCGTATGTTAGGATATATATTATCTTCTTTGATAGTTGAGTCCAACAACTCGATTTTTAGAAGGAACTAGATATTTTTGTTTCCTTTCTAGAATACATTAATATTTTACTTGTACTTCTTCCTCATCTTTGATTGGTAGAGTCTTTTGAGATTTAGTGTAGTTCAATATTCTCTTTTGCCTCTTCTAAATGTTCTACTATTGTTAATCAGACGTTCTCTTTTGACCTTGAAACTTTGCCGCTTATGATGTTTTATTAAGAAGCACTAGTGGTCTAGTGGTAGAATAGTACCTTCCCACGGTATAGACTCGGGTTCGATTCCTGGTGTGCACTTTCAAAAAGGTGATGAAGCATGTGTATTTGTGGTGATTAGGTCACCATGGATTGTTCGATCTTAACCGGATGAAGAACAGCGCTAACTCTTATTTATACCTTACCATTGATAAATTTGTTCCTTTTGAATTTTTTTGTTGGTACTCGTTTTATGATGTCTAGGAGAAGGTAATAATTGTGTGTAAGAGATATATTCAAACTTTGTAATGTATTACTGATTATTAATGGGTTACGTTCTTCTAACTTTTAACACATTTTGAGCCTTTATATGAGAACTGCAACAACTATTACTTTTTTTTTCGTATGTTAGGATATATATTATCTTCTTTGATTGTTTAGTCCAACAACTCTATTTTTAGAAGGTACTAGATATTTTTGTTTGCCTTTAAGAATACATTAATATTTTTCTTGTACTTCTTCCTCATCTTTGATTGGTAGAGTCTTTTGAGATTTAGTGTAGTTCAATATTCTATTTTGCCTCTTCTAAATGTTCTACTATTGTTAATCAGACGATCTCTTTTGACTTTGAAACTTAGCCTCTTATGATGTTTTACGAAGCACCAGTGATTTAGTGGTAGAATTGTACACTGCTACCGTGTAGACCCGGGTTCAATTCCCGGCTTGTGCACTTTCAAAATGATGAATGATGATGAAGAATGCATATTTGTGGTCATTGGGTCGCCATGGGTTGTCCGATCTTAACTGGATGAATAACAGCAACAACTCTGAGTTTCTATTTTTGAAGGTTTCACGTGAATGAAGATAGATTATTTATACCTTACCATAGATAAAATTTGTTCTTTTGAATTTTTTTTTGTCGGTACTCGTTTTATGATGTCTAGGAGAAGTTAATAATTGTGTTTAAGAGATATATTCAGACTTTGTAAAATATTTTTGGTTATTAATGGGTTACGTTCCTCGAACTTTAACTCATTTTGAGCCTTTATATGAGAACTGCAACTACTATTACTTTTCTTTTCGTATGTTAGGATATATATTATCTTCTTTGATAGTTGAGTCCAACAACACGATTTTTAGAAGGAACTAGATATTTTTGTTTCCTTTCAAGAATACATTAATATTTTTCTTGTACTTCTTCCTCATCTTTGATTGGTAGAGTCTTTTGAGATTTAGTGTAGTTCAATATTCTATTTTGCCGCTTCTAAATGTTCTACTATTGTTAATCAGACGTTCTCTTTTGACCTTGAAACTTTGCCTCTTATGATGTTTTATAAAGAAGCACTAGTGGTCTAGTGGTAGAATAGTACCTTCCCACAGTACAGACTCGGGTTCGATTCTTGATTGGTGTGCACTTTCAAAAAGGTGATGAAGCATGTGTCTTTGTGGTGATTGGGTCACCATGGATTGTTTGATCTTAACCGGATGAAGAACAGCGCCAACTCTTATTTATACCTTACCATTGATAAATTTGTTCCATTTGAATTTTTTTGTTGGTACTCGTTTTATGATGTCTAGGAGAAGGTAATAATTGTGTGTAAGAGATATATTCAAACTTTGTAATATATTACTGGTTATTAATGGGTTACGTTCTTCTAACTCTTAACACATTTTGAGCCTTTATATGAGAACTGCAACTACTAATACTTTTCTTTTCGTATGTTAGGATGTATATTATCTTCTTTGATAGTTGAGTCCCACAACTCGATTTTTAGAAGGAACTAGATATTTTTGTTTGCCTTTAAGATTACATTAATATTTTTCTTGTACTTTTTCCTCATCTTTGATTGGTAGAGTCTTTTGAGATTTAGTGTAGTTCAATATTCTATTTTGCCACTTCTAAATGTTCTTGTTGGTCCCGATAGGGTGGTGAAAGTCTTGAGGGGGGGGGGGTGAATAGACTTTCAAGCTTTTTCAAAATAAATAACTCTTTGGTGATTTCAACTCTAAATAACAAGTAAATAGAGTAAATTCAAACTGCAAAATAGGTAGTATGTAAAGAGTTATGCCCAATGAATAATTTAAATACGCATGTAAGATGAGTATAGATGATATGTAAAGTGACAGAGATATCTTGAATATATAAAGGAGATGGTTCACTCAATATATAATAACAATATTCAAGATTGTAAATAAATATCGTATCACGTCGACCGTGTAACGAATGTTACATGCAACACGTTAAACTTGCTTAGAATAATTCAATATTTAAGCTCGAGAAGTTTGAGTCTCATGCATACGTGAAAACACATTAAACCCGAAAGATTAAGATTAACTGTGAATAGTAAACGGGTTAGTCGGATAAGATAGATAGATTGAGCAAATTATGTAAGTGCAATATGTAAATGAGAGAGACAATTTATAGTGGTTCGGAAGTGGCGTAATCTTCCTAGTCCACTTTTCTCCTTTCGCGTCTAGGAGAAATTCACTATTTTCCGCACACAGTTACAATAGTGAATAAGCGCTACACAAGCACTTCTTCCGGATGTTTTGCACACAGCTACACCCAACTCCGAGTGTCTCGCACACGGCTACACTCAACTCCGAGTATTTCGTACACAGTTATACTCAACGCCAACTAAGTGTCTTGCACACAGCTACACTTAGCAACTACGAGTGTTTTGCACACAGCTACACTCACTAGAGTATTTTGCACACAGCTATACTCTTTTTACAATTACCAATACAAAGGTAATTGTATCTCTCTCCAACTAGATTTGAGACTATTCAGACTAAGTCTCTAAGAATATTTGAGCACTTGCACTTGTTCACTTCTTATCTCGTGTGTATTCACCTCTCTTCTTTGTCTTCAAGTCTTCATGGCTTTTTATAGGCAATCAAATATATCCGTTTGAGTGGGATAATATGATATTCGAAATTTGAATCTTCAGAGCCTGATATTGTTGACAATAGTAGGTCTTCAATTTTGATTTGATTGTCAACTTGCCTAACAAAATAATATCTTATCTCCAATTGATTTTCTAGTTGTTTAAGATATTATTTTGTTGTCATATTGAATATCCAACGTATCTTTGAAATAAATTCATCTGATAGAATTTATTTCTAGGATAAGTTTTTATATTCATTTATTCATAAGTATTTTTCCGTTCTGATCAAATGTCTTTCAGGCAATTTTGGATTCTTGTGGCATGTGGGTAGACTTAGAATAAATTCCTTCGAATTTATCCAATTTCTGATCATCTTGCTTCTTTGCCACATTGTGCTCCTTTGACTTGAGCATCGTGCTCCTTCACTTGAACATTGAGCTCTTTTTTACACATTGTGCTCCTTTTGAACATTGTGCTTGTCAGCACACATCGTGCTCTTTAGCAGCATTGTGCTCTTTTTGGTAGCATTGTGCTCCTGGGCACATTGTGCTCTTTTTAAGAACATTGTGCTTGTCCGAAAACTTGACTTGTAAAAATAAGTCCTTGGGGGGAATCAATCTCAAGTGTGATCGTTTTGAGTAAGGACTTCTACCATTTCTCCATTAGGCTCATCCAGTCATTCTTTGCAACGCCATTCCTTTATGCTTCTTTCTCGGATGAATACTCGTAGGACCAAAATTAATTTCCCAAATTAATTTTGTTCTTCATATGGTAGATTCCCTTTGATTCGATATTCTGATTTATGATGCTTGTACTAAAAGACCTGAAAACCAAGGGGATCTAAAGTACATTTGGCTCATCAAAACTTACAAAAATATCCCTATCAATTTTCCCCCTTTTTGATGACGCCAAAACCTATACTCAGTCATTTGGCTTGTCTTAAAAAACAATTATTTTTCAAAAGATTTTATTAACTTTGACATAGCCATGACGAGTTTAACATTTGATTTTGACTCTAGGAAAGGTATTTTTAGCAACTAAAATTCCTATTCGCATTTTTGGATTTTAATGATAATGAATTTTTGCATTTTTCCAATCTATGCGATTTGATACAATCTAAGCTAAAAATGTTACCTTTCAAGACAAATAAAATAATAGTAAATAACAAGGAAAACTTAGTAGCATCATAAACAGATAATTCGAACCATAAATTGTTCCAAGTTGTTCATGGGTTCCTGTTCTCGTGGACCATACAAAAACAAATGTGACAATCATACAAATCATCTAATGACTTTGTTTCTCCTCTCTTCAAGCACATGATTTATATGATTTTGAACATCAATGAAATTGTCACTAATGGCATAATTGTTGCATACCTGCCCAACCGAATAATAGTTGAATGCTTCAATGATGTTGCTTCCAGGCAGTATACTTTCTTCATACCATATGATGCACTCTTCTAGACTTCTTCCATTTTGTAGCTCGGCATCATTGACCTTGATATAGTCCTTTAGAACCATGATCATCAAAGCTCTAGCATAGCTTCTAATCCTTCTGAAGTTCTCATTTGAAACCCACAAATTTTGATCACTTGGACCACTCTTCTTCATTCCCTTTGGTAGATCATTTAAAGTCACCAACTTTGGCATTTCAACTCTACCATCTCTTGGTGTGGATTCCAAATAGAGAGCTGCTTTGTTGTACCAATTGATTTGCTTAATATTTCCACCTGCACAAATAACGTCACGAAAAGAACGGTTAGTGGTATTTGCGCTGCTTGATCCTCCTGGACTACCAGCCTCACCACCACCGAACCAATATTCTAATCCTCCTCTTCTAGCAACATTTCTGCCAGCAGATCTGCCACCTCCTCCTCTACTACTGCTTGTACCAACATTTCGGGTGGCCATGGCAGTCATCATCATCTCAAGCATGCCTTCCAAATGACTGAATCTCTCTTCCCCCTTTTTGGCGTAATCAAGGAGTGTATAAATTGATTCACGACGAGATGAAATAGATTCTGAAATATTTTCATATGAACCTCGAAGGCAGCCCACTTTGGTGTTGATGGAGATGAGATCTGTGTGGACATCACTAATCTGCTTCTCATGTTGATGAACAACATTGAGAATTCCTTGGCTTTGGTTCACGGCAATTGCTTCATTTCCTTTTCCAGAATTCTTGAGGATTTGAGAGAGTTGGATGTAGAACTCATTGAGTTGCCCCTTGACATTTGTATTCAATCCTCCAACTTGTTTCTCAAGTGCTTGGTGTGTGTCGATCAAATGTTGTTGACTCCTCCGATTTTCATCAAAAGATGTTTCGAATTTTCCTCCTTGAGTATTGACAACGTGATCCACATGAGTGTAGATGCCTTGAAACATGTTTTCCATTCGGTCAACAAGGCTTAGTACAACTTTCTCCAGATTTTCCAATTTTTCATTTGAGGTTGTGCCATCAATATCTTGCTCTTCTCGGGTTGTGGGAACACATCTTGCTCCTTCTTGAGCAGAATTGATTTCAAGCATGTGAGATTGTGCTTGATTTTCCACTTGATATCCTTCTCTTTCCGGTGTGTGTAACACGTGCGTGTCACCTTGTGCACTTTCTGCATGAATGGATTGAATTTCCTCCGTGTGTTGGCTAACTTGCATGGCATTTTGATCTTGACTTATTTCAGTGAGATTCAACACACTCAAATCATATAAGCCACTGTCCATTAAATGTGCACCATATGTGACATTTTCTTCTTCTTCATTCCTTGTGACAAATTCATCAATATCAACTAGGAAATCATCTTCGGTAGGCATATCTCCTTGGACTGTGCCATCAAGAGTAGTCT